ATGGAAATGGGAAACCCAAGGAGGAAGTGGGAAACCCAAGGAGGAAGTGGGAAACCCAAGGAGGAAGTGGGTACAGTGCTTTTACATTGAGGGGACTGCAACTAACGTCATGAAACAAAATGTATATAAATCATTGAATGGAGAACTAATCTACCCTGTAAACTTACACCCAAATCACAAGAAAACCAAGCAAAGAAAGCTGAGGGTAAAATGAGTACTTTCCTTATGGATTCAATACTTTTCAATATTTTTGTCAGATTTGTATACCCATATATGTATGTATGGCTATATTTAATTTTATATATTAAATTCAAATATATTTTGTTGTTGTTGGTAAGTGCCATCGAGTCGATTCCGACCCATAGCGACCTTGTACAGGGTTTACAAGGAGCAGCTAGTGAGCTTGAACCACTGACCTTGCAGTTCAAACGACTTTGCAGTCTGACACATTAGCCCACAGCGCCACACCAGGACCTTTGGTTAAATTGTTTTAAACCACAAACAACATGATCCCTAGATGTTGTTGTTATGTGCCATGGAGTTGGTTCCAACTCATAGTAACCCTGTACAGGGTTTCGGAGGCTATAAATCTTTACGGGAGTAGAAACCTCATCTTTCTCCCGTGGAACAGCTGGTAGTTTCAAACTACTGACCTTGCGGCTCACAGTCCAATTCATAACCACTACACTACCAGAGCTCCTTGATCCCAAAATAGTTCAGCATTAATATCCTAAATGTAGAAACATTCTCCAACTAACCACAATATCTAATTCCAAAGAAAAGTAGCAATAATTTTCCCATCACCCAAATTGCAGTCCACATTGAAACATTCGGTTATTCCTCCAAATCTATCTTTGATTGAATTTTTTTTCTCTATTTTGTTTTGTATTTTTAGCAGAAACTAATCAAATTCACATACTGCATTTGGCCATTATGCCTTCAAGAACAGTCCCTCTATCCATTTTTTTTTTTTTTTAATGACAGATTTTTTGAAGACCATAGGATTTTTGTTCTATGTGTGTGACATATAAGGTTAGTTTTAGAAGCACTAGCAGTCCTGGTGTGGTGCTGGAGGATAAGCACTGGACTGCTAACTAACAGCAAGGTTACTGGTTCAAACCCACCAGACTCTCATTGGAAACCCTATACAAGGTTGCTATGAGTCAGAACCGACTCAACAGCACTCAACAATAACAGCGCCTTTTACTAAAGAAGGGACTTAGTTACTGAGGGCTTTACTAATGGTGACATCATTCATTACATGAAATAATTTCAAGTCAATTTTCAATCTAGAATTTTAGTTATCAAGAATAAAGTTACAATAATTTCTACATCCATGATCATATGAGACCTTTGTTGTTGTTGTTAAGTGCCGTTGAGTCGGTTTCGACCCATAGTGACCCTGTACAGGGTTTCCGAGGGTGTAAATCTTTACGGGAGTAGAAAGCCTCATCTTTCTCCCGCGGAGCAGCTGGTAGTTTCGAACCGCTGACCTTAAGGTTCGCAGCCCGATTTGTAACCACTACGCTACCAGAGCTCCTTAGATATAATATTAATAGTCTGCGTTTCCTTATGAATCTCTGAGTTCTGATCAGCAAAGTACATCATGGTTAAATAATCTACAACAAATGAACACCAATCAATGTAATAAACAGCAGTATACCTAAGAATTCTGGATTCTTTTTTTTGGTAGATTTATATTCCCTGGAATATTTTATCACTTAAGCGAATAGCACTAGGTTGTTGTTGTTTTTTGCCAAGACTATGAGAAAGAACATTTGGTAGTTTACTCTAACTTCTTTTCCAAATTCTTTAGAAAGTACATATAAAAATGAAGCAATAATCTAGAGTCCTCAGCTGCTCCCTCTCTCCATGTTCCCATCTCTGCCTCCATCTCTGATGTCACTATTTCTCTGGATAAGGTCCCGCACTCTTCTTGTGCTCTTCTCCTTTGATGGTCCTAGGGTCCTCTGTTCCCGGACTGTAAGATTAACTACTCCCCCCTTTTTGTTACAAAGCTTCTGCCTTTACTGTTGTGACAGTTACAATTAGTCATGGTAACAGTTACTCTCTATTGAATCGTAAAGAATCTTCTCCCCATCTCTTTTCACTACTTCAGTACTTTAAAAAACTGTTTGTTGTTGTTTTTTCTGCAAAAGACCTCTAGATTCATGGAAAGAGAGGGACTGAGAGCTGGCAGCCAGGAGGCAGGCTTGCAGAATGTGCCCTTTGGTTGTTTAGATGATTATATATTCCTGAGTGTTTTTGTGTACATCTCCCCATCCTCCCATCCCACTCCCACCCCCTCAAAAAAGAAAAACAGAGTGAATGAAAGCAAGTACTGTTGAATGACGATGCAATGAGGAGACTGTAACCATTGCAATGAAATTCTGAGTGTGAAGCCAATGTTCTCTCATGTAAACTATCACTCAAATCACAATAAAAACTTAAAAAAACACAATAATATTCACTACTTCCACCATATAAATACTTTTTATTATTTCTGAATGACAAGAAAAATAAATTGAAATGATAAAAACATAAAAAAGAACTGAACTATCATAGAGATCTGATCTGATTCTAGCCACAGGATATGTCTTAGCATGAAAAGGATCATGGGCTCTTACAGTCCAAAACATATATATATATATACAGAGAGAGAGA